TATAAGAACAGCCCAGTCCCAACCATTGTAAAAATTATCAATAACTTGTAATAAACCAGTGTATTCACTCCCAGTAAATACTACTTCTTGCAGTGTCACTATGTTGAAATGCACTGTAGTTTGAGTTTTTCCCCATCTAGTTATTATATATCTTATTTGTATCACTTATGTTACTTGTATATTATTTGTAATTCGAAACCCATTCCCCAAATATGTAACTGTATATTTTCAGCCTTCTGGCTGCCAAGCTCTTTCAATAAATCGTTAATTATTATTATTATTATTATTATTATTATTATTATTATTATTATCAATGGCTACGACAATAAGAGGATCTCTTCCAAACAACCACCATCCGTCTCTCACAGTATTGTCTCCCAAGAGTTGATGAATTACCAAATTGCTTCCAAATTGGTGGGGGTGGGTCGTGGGGTGAGGGGCGGCAGACGGCCGGGTCATGGGGTGGGGGCGGGGGACGGGCGGGTCGTTGGGCGGGAGACGGGCGGGTCGTGGGGGGGGGGGGTGGGTAAGGTCAGTGGATGGGAAATTGATGGGGCGTCGTTTTTATTTCAAGTTGTATATACGCGAATTTTTTTTTAATCGACGTCTAATGGGGGCCAGCGTGTGCCAATTAACGCTGCTGGAAGGTGAATGGTGATGTTTTGGGTGTACAGATGTCATGTATATGTTTATAACGCCTAATAATTCGTGTTCTTTATAAAACATACTTGTTATTGTGTTGTTGTTTGGGGGATGGGGGTATTTTCTGGTTAGAGGGAATTATATGCGAGTACAGGTATTATAATTTCGGGGTGTTGTTTGATAATTTTTAATCGGTCGTCGAGTGTGCCACACAATGTGATAATTAAAAAAAAAAAACATATATATATATATATATATATATATATATATATATATATATATATATATATATATACAGTATATATATATATATATATATATATATATATATATATATATATATATATATATATATATATATATATATATATATATATATATATATATATATATATATATATATATATATATATATATATATATATATATATATATTATGTTACGTATGTGTAATTATGTAAAGTGTGTATACAAGTATATTAGTGTCTTTCACACACACACATAGGAACTATTGGCTTTGACAATTATGCGGCAATTAGTATCCACTTTATGTAGCCGTTTCTTGATGCTGTTCCATTACCTGTACACACCCCCTGCTGAGGGTGGAAGAAACAGCGTACACATAGATAAACGTGGCCCAATGTCTGTGGGCAATAAAATCCCTTATATTGAATGGGCTGGGCAAGGGGTCCAGGTACACAGAGAAGGACAAGGCGTAGATCCCTCACACTGATTACATTCTTGGTGGGAAGACCTCCTCCCCTCACCCTCCTTCTTTTTCTCTTTCTTGTTTTTCTATTCTTCCTAGAGTGCTGGGTGTAGATATTTATGTAATGGCTAGAAAAATGGGTGTAACACATTGAAAACTGTACAGTATAGTATACCTCTAGTGTAAATGTCCTATTTCTTTGTATGTATGTATGTCTGTAGTCTTATGTATGTATGTGAAACTATGGGCAAGTTTCTTTACGCAGCAATTGGGAACTTGGATGTTAATCGACACTGGGTCATGCAGCTCGTTAACTCAGGGTGTGGTTGTTGTGTTGACGACAGTTTCTACACCTTAAACAAATTCACTCCTAGGTGGCCCTTGGGCCGGCCATCCTTGTTACACTGTGGGGTACGAGATGTTGGTTCACACTCAGGATGGGTTGGAGAAAGCCTCAGAAAGGAAACTCACAATGTGCTCTCTGTATACATGTTGTATTGGATGTACAATGCAGCTTGGTGCTGGGAAGGCAGCATGGTTACAAGCGTGATGTAGAGAGAGCTGGTTGGTGAGGGTGCTCAGAGGAGGACCAGCTTGTGGGTCGCCATGTTCGCCAACTGGAGCGAGGGCCGCCAGGCAGGGGGAGGAGGAGGTGTTGCTGGCTGGTGGCTGTAGGTAGTAAGAGAGATAGGTCACCACGAGGTGAGGCCTTATATAGTCACTAGCGTAGCTAGGGGGGGGGGCGGTCCGCCCCGGGCGGCACTTTTGGGTCTGCTCATCACCCATATCTGCAGCTACTGGAGACGTTAATCCATCCCTTTGTATCGGCGGCAAGTTAATCCTTGTCGTGTCTGACCTAACACCTGACCCACATCATCACGGCCACGTCATGAGCTACACCCTTGCTATGAGGCCCCCCGCCACACACACAACCTGTAACCTGTTGAGGATTAAGGAAACAACTTCAAACAAGTACGCCAGTGAGCTCATGTGGTGTGGGTCAGGTGTTAGGTCAGACACGACGAGGATTAACTTGCCGCCGATACAAAGAGAAGGATTAACGTCTCCAGTAGCTACAAAACCATGCAGTCTCGGGTCATATCACTTCATGTACAGCGGACCAATCCACCAGTTACTGTTGCTGCTATAACTATTAAAGACAGAATACAGACGTGGAAAGAAGGCCCCCTTGAACTTTTGCAGTTTATTCAAAAGTATAACCTTGGGAACTCGGTTCCAAATATAGCAATAATGCTGAGGATTTTCCTCACAATTGCTGTTAGTGTTGCTACCTGTGAGAGGAGTTTTTCGAAACTAAAACTGATCAAGAATTACTTAAGATCTACTATGAGCACCTTGCGGTTGAGAAATCTTGCCATACTGTCTATAGAGCGACAATTGACAGATGAAATAGTTTTTGACAATGTCATTGAAGAATTTGCCAACAAAAAAACAAGAAAAGTTACTTTGTAGAAAGTTGTAGTTTTCATTTCAGAAATAAAGATGGTCCTAATTTTTTACACTTTTTTACTTTTTTCCCTATCCTATATGTCGTTTTTGCTTTTTGTTTAACTGTTACTTATAAAGTTTAAGTATGTTTGGTGTGTATTTAAAGCATACTATATTTGAGTATGTGAAAGTACAGTAATATTATAATGGTACACAAACTATTTAATATATATATATATATATATATATATATATATATATATATATATATATATATATATATATATATATATATATATATATATATATATATATATATATATATATATATATATAAGAGTGAGTCACTGTGCAATATGTATTTTTTGTGGGCGCACGGGGGGCGGCAAACTCAAGGGCCGCCCCGGGCGGCACACACTCTAGCTACGCCACTGTATATAGTGGAGGTTGGAGGTAGGCGTGGCTTAATAGTTGACCTCAGTCATGTAAGGCGGCGCTGGTTGCTGACCTAGACCACGAGGCATACACTGGGGAATTCGAGGGTCGGCTAGTCAGCGACAAACGGCGTTTGTAGGGGAGGAATCCACTACAACACGAGGGGCAACCATTATTATATCATTATGTATATGATGTTTGTGTCCCTATAGTGAAAAATAATAAAAATAATCATTAAAATATATTCATTGGAGCAACGTCACAAGTGGAGTTCCCCAAGGCTCAGTACTTGGACCATTATTATTTATTATATACATAAACGACATAGATATCGGCATAGACAGCAACATAAGTAAATTTGCTGATGACACTAAAATAGGACGTGTTATCAAATCTGACGAGGACTCGGCAAAACTACAGGAAGATCTAAACAAATTTTTCGAATGGTCTGAAAAATGGCAGATGAAATTCAACGTCCACAAATGTAAAGTACTCAGTATAGAGACGTAAACAGGGAAACCAGATACCAGATGAACAACGATGTCATAGAGAAATCCGACTGCGAGAGAGATTTAGGAGTAATGATAAGTAGGAACCTTAAGCCAAGTAAACAATGTGTTTTTGCTCGTAACAAGGCTAATAAAGTACTTGGGTTCATACAAAGGAGTGTTAGTTACAAGACTAGCGAGGTCATCCTAAAACTGTATCTTGCTCTTGTGAGACCACACCTGGATTACGCAGTTCAGTTCTGGTCACCGTATTACAGAATGGATATAGAATCCTTGGAAAGAATTCAGAGGAGAATGACAAGACTAATCCCCGGCATTAGGAACCTTAAGTATACAGACAGGTTAAAGCATCTTAATTTGCACTCCCTTGAGAGACGTAGAGCGAGGGGCGACCTGATAGAGGTGTATAAGTGGAAGGCAGGGCGAAACAAAGGGGACATTACAAAGGTACTCAAACTATCCAACCAGGAGCGAACTCGTAACAATGGTTTTAAATTTGACAAATTTAGATTTAGGCGTGAAATAGGTAAACACTGGTTTGGAAACAGAGTAGTGGATGAATGGAACAAGTTACCAAATATCATCATTAACTGGAATACGCTGAATTGCTTCAAACATAGGTTGGATGCTCATATGAGCAATGGGGGTTGGGTGTAAACGGGACTGCCCAGTATGGGCCAATAGGCCCCCTGCAGTTTCCTCCATTCTTATGTTCTTATGTTCTTATGTTTATATTATTGTATTTGGTTTAAATTTTTCTTTATTTTCTCCTGTTTGTCGTTTTTTTCAATGTCATCCTACACACGTTTCCGTTCTATTCTCTCTCTCTCTCGTCCCCTCCTCTTTCCCTGCCCCTTTCAGAAAACTCTCAGCTCATAAAAATCATAGAATTAAAGTGTATAAAACCTTTTATTATCATGGAGGAAAAAAAATACAAATTAAAAACATGAGACATAAAGCCAACACGGTATACATTGAAAAATGGCGCGCATGCTGACGTCACGAATGTAAACACAAGGAACCGCCGCCATAGTTGTTATAACCTTCCTTTGAACAGGTTAAAGTGTAGGTAGGTTAGGTGGGTGTAGGTGTAAGATTATATTATAGTAGATGGTGTAGGTGGGTATACTGTAACTGGGAGTAGATGTAAGATCGTTCATGGTATAAGTGGGTGTAAATGTAAAGGTGTATAATTATAGTACATGGTGGAGGTGGGTGTAGGTGTATGTAACCAATGCCTTCTCTCTTTCTCCCAGCCGACGAGTCAGAACAAGCAGTCTCCATCCTCCTCAATGGCATGGAGTCTGAGATAGTCTTCGTGAACGTCGCCACCAACCAAGACTTCCAGGTAGGCTGAACTCTCTCTCTCTCTCTCTCTCAGTCTTTCTAATGGGCTCTAAGACTACCTAATGGGCTCTAAGACTACCTAATGGGCTCTAAGTCTTCCTACTGGGCTCTAAGACTTCCTAATGGGCTCTAAGTCTACCTAATGGGCTCTAAGATTACCTAATGGACTCTAAGTCTTCTTAATGGGCTCTAAGACTACCTAATGGGCTCTAAGTTTACCTAATGGGCTCTAAGTCTACCTAATGAGCTCTAAGTTTTCCTAATGGGCTCAAAGTCTACCTAATGGGCTCTAAGTGTTGTTAATGGGCTCTAAGTCTTCTTAATGGGCTCTAAGACTACCTAATGGGCTCTAAGTCTTCTTAATGGGCTCTAAGACTACCTAATGAGCTTCCTAAGTCTTCTATCGGGTTCTAAGTCTACCTAATAGGCTCTAAGTCTACCTAATGGGCTCTAAGTCTACCTAATAGGCTCCCAAGTCACCTAATGGGCTCTAAGTGTACCTAATGATCTCTAAGTCTTCTTAATGGGTTCTAAGTCTACCCACAGGCTCTAAGTCTACCTAATGGTTCTAAGTCTACCTTAATGGGCTCTAAGTGTACCTAATGCTCCCAAGCCCTAATGGGTTCTAAGTTCACCTAATGGGCTCTAAGTGTACCTAATGATCTCTAAGTCTCTACGGGTTCTAAGTCTACCTAATAGGCTCTAAGTCTCACCTAATGGGCCTCTAAGTCTACCTAATGGGTTCTAAGTCTACCCATCACTCTAAGTGTACCGAATGATCTCAAGTCTCTTAATGGGTTCTAAGTCTACCCACGGGCTCTAAGTCTACCTAATGGGCTCTAAGTCTACCCCACGGGCTCTAAGTCTACCTAATGGGCTCTAAGTCTACCCACGGGCTCTAAGTCTACCTAATGGGCTCTAAGTCTACCTACTGGGCTCTACTACCTAATGATCTCTAAGTCTTCTTAATGGGCTCTAAGTCTACCTAATGGGCTCTAAGTCTACCTAATGGGCTCTAAGTCTACCTAATGATCTCTTAGTCTTCTTAATGGGTTCTAAGTCTACCTAATGGGCTCTAAATCTCTCTAATGGGCTCTAAGTCTACCTAATGGGCTCTAAGTCTACCTAATGGGCTCTAAGTCTACCTAATGGGCTCGAAGTCTACCTAATAGGATCTAAGTCTTTTTCTAATGGGATCTTAAGTCTACCTAATGGGCTCTAAATCTACCTAATGGGCTCTAAGTCTACCTATTTGGCTCTAAGTCTTCCTAATGGGCTCTAAGTCTACCTAATGGGCTCTAGGTGTTCCTAATGGGCTCTAAGTCTACCTAATAGGCTCTAAGTCTTCCTAATGGGCTCTAAGTCTTCCTAATGGGCTCTAGGTCTACTTAATGGGCTGTAAGTCTACCTAATGGGCTCTAGGTGTTCCTAATGGGCTCTAAATCTTCCTAATGGGCTCTAGGTCGACCTAATGGGCTCTAAGTCTTCTTAATGGGCTCTAAGTCTACCTAATGAGCTCTAAGTTTTCCTAATGGGCTCTAAGTCTACCTAATGGGCTCTAAGTCTCTCTAATGGGCTCTAAGTCTACCTAATGGTCTCTAAGTTTTTAATGGACTCTAAGTCTACCTAATGGTCTCTAAGTCTACTTAATGGACTGTAAATCTACCTAATGGGCTCTAAGTCTGCCTAATGGTCTCTAAGTCTACTTAATGGACTCTAAGTCTACCTAATGGTCTCTAAGTCTACTTAATGGACTGTAAATCTACCTAATGGGCTCTAAGTCTGCCTAATGGTCGCTAAGTCTACTTAATGGGCTCTACGTCTGCCTAATGACCTATAGGTCTTCTTAATGGGCGGCACATAATAGTAACTAAAGGCTTGTATGAATATCATATGCAATAAATAGGTTATATACACAGACTTACACTATGATCCTTATAACACACACACTACTACTACTTTGCTGTCACTTGGGATTGAGTATGACAATCATCCAGCTATGATACAATGATGGGAAGGATAATCTTGCCAGCTACAGACAGCACTGAGATCACACAGTAGTTGTCACAGTCTGACCTATCTTCCTTGTTCTTATAAATATTGACGATGGAGGCGTCTTTAAGAGCTTGGGGGATTTCCTCCTTTTCCCATATATTCTCCAGGACAGAGTGGAGACGGCTGGTAAGCAGAGGCCCTCCTGCTTCATATGCCTCGGCTGGGATTCCATCAGGCCCTGGGGCTTTGTTATTTTTCATCTGCTTTATGGCAGTGGCTACCTCATCCAGGGATGGAGGATAGCTGAGGTGGAGCTCTGGGTTGAGCAGCGAATGCTAGAGCTCTTTCCAGCACTGACGGATGCTTTCTTCGTCTTTAATTAGGGAGTTACCGTCGGATGAGTGGAGGGGGCCACGCCATGAGTAGTTGGGCCATATATTGTTTTAGTGGAATTGAAAAATTTACGCATCTTGTGTTGATCCAAAAATTTTTGCTTTTCACTCACTATGCGTCGCCACCATTTGTTAATTGGTTTGTAAAGTTTACGCTAGACCGCCGCTTTCTCTTCGTGGAAATTATCAGCTTTGGTCAGAGTACTGCCATTTCCGGGTCATTTTCACAAAACCAATCCTGGTGTTTTACTTTTGATGAGGCCGAGGGTCTCGGTGCAAGATTTTGTGATGACAGCTTTGAGGGGACCCCATTTGGCACTCTGATTTAGGTTGTTTATCAGCCAATCATCGAGCTGCTCTCTGAAAGCATGTGCTACCGCTGGATCCTCCAGACGCTTAGTGCTAAAACCTCTTGTGGAGGCTTGCTACCTTCGCCGTTTTGGGGCGACATGAAGTGAGATCTTGGCTCTGACGAGCCGATGATCAGTGTCACAGTGGTCTGAGCCACGCATGGCTCGTGTGATGAGGACATCTCGGTGATCTCTTTCTCTGATAATGATGTTGTCAATGAGATGCCAATGTTTGGATCGTGAGTGTTGCCAAGAACCCTCGAACTTGTTGGTCTTCCTAAACAAGGTGTTGGTGATAGTGAGGTTGTGTGCAGCACACTTGCTGAGGAGGAGTAGGCTGTTGGGTTTACACTTGCCTATTCCCTTTCTCCCAATGGGTCCCTGCCATAAGTCAGTATCTCTGCCAATGCTTGCGTTGAAGTCACCCAGGAGCACAAACTTATTTCCACTGGGGATAGAGGTCAGCACTGTCAAGGTCGGCATAAAAGGTCTCCTTGATGTCATTCTCTGCATCCAGTGTTGGGGCGTATGTACTGATGAAAAAAGTCATGACGTGAGTGATTCAGTGGGACTCGGAGCATCATGAAGCCCTCGTTGATCCCAACAGGCATTTCACTTAGCCTGTGTAGGATGCATTGGCGGATAGCAAAGCCAACTCCATAAATGCCGTTTCTCTCCACAGTAGGCTTACCCTTTCAGAAGAAGGTATAGCCAGACCCCCGTTCTGTGAGTCAACTTTCATCGGGGAGCCTGGACTCACTAATGGCTGCTATGTTGATGTTATACCTAGCCAGCTCTTTTGCCACAAGGGCAGTTCTTCTTTCATTATGTTCATTTGTACCAGTATCCAGAAGGGTCCTGATATTCCATGCAGCGACTATAAGAGGTTGTATAGTTTGTTTTTGCTTTGATCTGTGATTATGATATATTTTCAACAGCATTAGGATGACTTTACTGGGTGCGGTTGCCCAGTCAGGTTGGTTTTTTAGGCAGGCTATGTTCAGGGCACCTTTTCTAGCCCCCTCCCAATGTGGGGTGAACAGAGGGGCTCCTCAAAAGGGCTGCTCAGTCGCACAGACAGGACCGGATTGCACTGTTGCCTAGATCCCAGTGCATAAACGATCATCTTCTCTGTGCCGCCCATGTGCAGAGTTGTGACTAGAGACTCCCGGCAGTCATCTCTGCCTGTCCCTGTTTCCACTCGTCTGTCAACATAGAACTTTTGGAGGGCAAAGGGGTTTTGATGATGATGAGAGGTATGATGAGCTGGGTGATGGCTGCGCATGAGTTGATTTATGTAGTGAGGCAGGGGCGCAGGTTGCAACCACACATCTTGGCTCTTCCTTTTCCTGATCCAGTGGTGCAAGTGTTGCAATGACTGGGGAGAGGGAGAAATGCAATGGACTGATGATAGCCCGGAATGTTGGGTTTCGCCTTTTAATCCACAAGGCAGCGAGGCAGTGGTTGGTAGGCGCCAGGATGTGTCCACATGCCAGTGGGCCCACTGCTGCTCCGAGATCCCCTGCTAGTGTAGCCTGGGCCCACGAGGCACCCAGTTACCATGTGTTGTCATGAGGAGGCACAGCAGGAGTCTTGATGGTGAGCTCATAGCTGAAAGCGAGAGGAAGCAAGCAGTGCTTGCAGCTTAACGCTAACTAATCCTGCCACACTAGATGCATTACACCACCCTGCGCACACATGCACGTACACACACACACACACACACACCCACACACACACACACACACACACACACACACAGGCAGGCAGACTGACAGAAAAACAGACACAGAAATAGACAGACAGACAGACATATTGAGACAAGTTTAGATACAGAAACAGGCAGACAGTGGCCAGATGGGAGACTGACTTTACCCTACGATATATTTTGTTTGTTATTGAAGCAGGTAGAGTTAATAACGAACACTTGTACTTGACACAGGAGGAGATTAACCGAGAGAGGCCCACGGACGGTTGGTTAATCATGTACAGCATCACGGACAAGGCGTCGTTCCAGAAGGCGGGAGAGGAGCTGGGTCGCCTACACAGTCGTCAGCTTCTGCGGGGTCGAGCTGTCATACTGGTGGCCAACAAGTGTGAACTGGTGCGGTCCAGAGCTGTAACTGTCGATGGTGAGTGATTCCCTCTCTATCTATCTATCTATCTATCTATCTATCTATCCCTATCTATCTATCTATCTATCTATCTATGTATCCATCCATCCATCCACCTCTCACACACAAAAAGTTTTAACCCACATCTCTCTACACAGATGGGCGTGATTTGGCTTGTAGTTACGGCGGCAAGTTTATGGAGATCAGTGTCGGGATGAACCACAAGTGTGACGACCTGTTGGTGGGGATACTCAACCAACTCCGTATTAAAGGCGAGGCTGAACCCTGTGAGGAGGAGGAGGCACCGAAGGAGAAGACTTGGACTAGGTAACAAACATATCTTAAACCTTTGACCGCCGATGGTTTAACATAATAGTTTAATCCTTTTGATCACGATGGTTTAACCCTTATTGCGGATGATAGTTGAACCCTTTGATGTCAATCGTGTAACTGTTTGAGGTTTATGGTTTAACCCATTTTAGGATACTAGTTTAACCTTTTTAGGATAATAGTTTAACCCTTTTGAGATTAATAGTTTAACTCTTTTGATGGGAGATGGTTTAACCCTTTTGAGGATGAAAGTTTAACCCTTTTGTGGGTGATAGTTTAACCCTTTTGATGGGATGGTTGAACCCTTTTGATGATAATAGCTTAACCCTTTTGTGGGTGATAGTGTAACCCTTTTGATGGGAGATGGTTTAACCCTTTTGATGATAATAGCTTAACCCTTTTGTGAGTGATAGTTTAACCCTTTTGATGGGATGGTTTAACCCTTTTGAGGATAATAGTTTAACCCTTTTGATGGGAGATGGTTTAACCCTTTTGATGATAATAGCTTAACCCTTTTGTGGGTGATAGTTTAACCCTTTTAATGGTAATGGTTTAACCCTTTTGATGGGGATGGTTTAATCCTAATGAGGATGATAGTTGAACCCTTGGATGAGGATGGTTTAACCCTTTTGGGAATGATAGTTTAACCCTTTTGAGGATAATAATTTAACCCTTTTGAGAATAATAGTTTAACCCTTTTGGTGGGGATGGATTAACCCTTTTGAAGATGAGTCTAATTCTTTTGATCACGATGGTTTAACCCTTTTGAGAATAGTAGTTGAACCCTTTGATGTCAAAAGTGTAACTGTTTAAGGTTTATGGTTTAACTCTTATGAAAATAATAGTTTAACTGTTTTGGGGACGTTGGTTTAACCCTATGAGGACAATAATTTAACCCTATGAGGACAATAATTTAACCTTATGAGGACAATAATTTAACCTTATGAGGACAATAATTTAACCCTCCAGGACTCAAAGGTTTAAAAGCGTGTGTCTTTTGTGGGTTTTTTATTATTGTTAAACAGCTCACTTATAAATTTATTCATTATTTATTTATTTATTTTCATATTATTAAATAAGTGAAACATATGCAAATACTACATGTGAAGATTCTGGTGATTCATCAACCCGGGTAACAAAGTCCTCAGCCACCACACTAGATGTAATATGTAATACTAAAGACAAAATCAATCAGGTAGGGGACATTAGGGGACATTCCTGCTGGCCTTAGTGACCACTTTATCGCCTACTGCAGCAGGAGATAGGTCAGAGGTAAGACAGGACAACACAGGGTAATCAAAATATTGTCAGTGAGGAATTACAACAAAGAAGTGTTACAAAAAAAATAAAAAATCCATACAAAACAAAATAATAATTGGTCGCATGTGAGGTTAATGAGGCCTCGGAGAAGTTGAGAACTACTTTTACTGATGTTCTTGATAACATTCCTTGATAAGAGAGCAGATTTTGAAACACTACTTAAGGTACATCAACCAGATATAGTTGGTGTTGTAGAACTGTTGTACAAAAACAAGAGAATCGAGATGGAGGAATGTGAGTTTAATATAGACGGATATGAATTATTTTCGAACCTTTCTCAAAAAACTTGCAAGAGGGGTGTGGTTATCTATGCTAGGCAAGACCTTAGAGCCAGCCAGGTGAGGGTACAGGGAGAGGATGTTTTTGAGGAATCAAAGTGGTGTAAAATTAAATTAAAGGGAGGAGACTTACTCATCCACAAACTGTAGCTTATTAATCCAAGGGAACCTCCTGGTCATGGGGGACTTTAACTATGGCGACATCGACTGAAGAGATGAATCCACGCCAAACGGCCTAAATAATCCCGCTACTCTTTTTGTAGAAACTCTTAGACAATTTTCTATTCCAACATGTTAATGATCCAACTCACTACAGGAGGAAGCAAACACCCAAACCGCTGGACCTCATCATAACTAACGAGGAGAGTATGGTGGCCAAGCTGGAACACCTATCCCCCATTGGCCCAAGTCACCACATAACGTTGTCCTTCAGATTTAACTGTTACTTGGTTCATGACAAAATGCAAGTAGGCATATCGAACCTGAGGCTTGAAGATGGTAGTAACACAGATTGACCAAATTCTTTTCCTCAGTGTTCACAAGAGAGGATGCGAACAATTTTCCTGTGGTTGAGGAAAGAAGGTTTGACACAGCGCTGATCCACATTGTGTTCTCGGACGAGGTTATAAGAAATAAATTGTCAAAGCTAAAGATTCACAAGAGTCCCGACCCAGATATGGTACACCCCAGAGTGTTAAGAATACTGTGTAGCGAGCTTGTGGAGCCCCTTAAGATCCTGTTCTGTAAATGCCTGGATTAGTAAAAGGTCCCAAATGACTGGAAAATGGCTTATATGAGTCCTATTTTCAAGAAGGGCGATCGTCACTCCATGAATAATTACAGACTAGTAAGCCTGACCAGCCTAGTATGTAAAGTACTAGAGAGCATCATAAGAGATGCCATGATGGAACATCTACTGCGAAACAACCTTGCCAACAAGTTTTATGCTGGGGCGCTTCTGCTTAACATAATTACTCAAGGTCCTGGATGTTTGGACTCAATTCCAAAACAGGGCGGAAATATCGGCAATATATACAGTGCCTAGATTTTGCCAATGCCTTCGACAGTGTACCCCATGAAATGCTGAGAATTAAACTGGAAGGGTATGGGATTCGAGGAAGTATCCTAGCGTGGATCAGAGACTTTCTCCACGATCGTACGCAGTGTGTGGTGATTAATGGCACTTAGGAACATAGATTCTAGGGCCATTGTGAGAAGAAGGTGAATCAAGCAATGAAACTAGTAGTACTGGAGTACTGTATTCCTGCCTGGTCCCTGAGGTATGCTAAGGACTATCAATTTATTGAAAATGTCCAAAGGAGGGCCACCAGACTGGTGCCTGCTCAACAGAACTTCAGCTACCCAGAGAGATTAGAATGCCTGCATCTACCTAGCTTATACTACAGACAGGCAAGGGGCGACCTACTTGAAGTGTATAGACATTTTCGGAGTGAGAATTGTGAATTCTTGGAATAATATGCCAGAAAGTGTTGTGATAGCACTGAGTGTAAGCTCTTTGAAGATCAGACTTGACCAATACTGGAACAGGTTCCAACACATTGAGGAACCAGTACATGCCCAGTACTTGCCAACAGTGCGTAACAGAGACGTGACCCATCGCCCAAGCGGCTAACGAGCCGATCAGTGGTTAAGAGGATAAAAGTAAAAAGTAAAGTAAAAGTAGCACAGTTAAAGGAGATAGGAATAAAAGCTAGGACCGAACCTTGGATGACACAGATGTCAACTCGCTCGTAAGGTTAATAGAGACAGACATGATGAGAAGCCATGCAAAAATTCTGTAAGTTAAAAAACAAAGTGCTGTACATGTACAGAGAGATAAAGTCAGCAAAATCAGAATATTTAAACAATAAGATTAAGGAAAATATAAATAACCCCCAAAAGCTCTAGAAACATCTAAGAACCCTTGGACAAAGTAAATGAACGATCCAACGTAGTGTTCAACATTACCGGTAATGATGAGGTTTGTCATGATGCATCTGAAGTTGCAAACTACAGGTACTTTAATTATTTGGATATGCAAGAAGTGACAGTCTCAGCTTTAGTTAATAAAATGCTGATAGCCTCAAACAGTTACAGTGTGGTGTTAAAAACTTTTAAATCCTACTATAAAAAGAAAGGAATCACTCCAGACAGTTTTGAGTGCCACACTTTAGCAAAGGACTTTGTTCTAAAGAAGTTAAATAAACTGGACCCTACAATGCATTGGTCTTTGAGGGACACCAATAACATCTATAATTAATCTCTCCATTAGCACCAATACTGTACCAGATGAGAGTAAGTATGCCAGAGTAACACAAGTCTGTCTGATGTAAGTAATTACAGGCCAGTTAGTATCTTGTGTATTGTATCTAAATTTCTGGAGAGAGCAGTGTAGTGTATGTTCTAGAGAAAAGATATCTCTCTTGTTATAATATTTTGTACAGCAACCAATCAGGATTTAGGGGCTCTCACACAACTCATGCCAGCTTGATCCATATCACTGACTATATGAGATCCCTAATACTCAGGGAAATTACACAGGTATGGTAATGTTAGACATACAAAAGGCCTTGGTACTATCGATTGTGATATACTATGTACAAAACTGCAGACTTAAATAGTATGTTAGCAACAGGAAACAAATTGTTACTGCAAATATTACCGAATCATCATCCATGCCAGTAGTCTGGAGTCCGACACAGGAGTGTTGTAGGACCATTGTTCTTCCTATATTATTTAAAGAACATACATTACTGTACCCATATGTGTTAATTGTAGACTTTTGTTATATGCTGACGACAATATTGGTAATACCTGTATACAGTTACATTGGTGTCAAGCTGTATATATATGTTGAACTGTATAACTGCTTAGTTTATATACATGCCTATCCAATTGTAAACCTATATGATAATTTCACTGAATTATTGTTATTATTATTATCATTATTATTATATTATTTCAGTAGATAGATATACTGTATTAACTTGGCCACCACAAAACTACCACAGTTCACCAAATAATTACATGGTAGAACTTTATTATTCAAGTCTGCACTTTCTTTGACAGGTTTACGTTGCAGAGAGAAGGTAGAACTACTACTTTGTGATAACAGTGAAGCTATTTATTATTTTAAAAAGATAGATTTTTATTGGGAAGTCATCACATGTTATAATACAGTACTGTCAGTGTTATATATAATTTGTTGTGATTACTGTCAACTTTTTAGAGGGAATCGTAGTCTTCTGAGGGCCTCCATGAAGGCCAAGCGAGTCATCAACAGGATCATGGGTAAAACTGAAGCCAAATACAAGAACTGTGAGGACTTCCAGAGCTAGGGTCACTGAGGAGGTGGCGGCCACACCCCAGCTCCTGAAGGTGAGCCAACTTCTCCCTTATGTGGCAGTACTGTATATGTCTTATGATGAAAAAATATTGTGGTCACATGAAGATTAGTTATCCCTGTTTATTTCAATTAAGATTACGGTAACCACCCTAACCAAACTGGGTAAAGGTGGGGCAGACGGTTAGCACCAGAAAAGGTTAAATTTTAGTTTCGGTCATCCTTATATTTAGATATCCAAACTATTAACCTAACCAACCTTAGCTAACCTATTGTAACCTAAGGAGATGGTGTTTGGATGATACTAAGTAAGAAAGTCGAAATGGTGATTAATGGTTTGAACTCGTCATGTGTACCCGCGACAAGTGGGGTACCACAGGGCAGTGCATTGGGCCCATTGTTGTTTCATAAGTGACATGTCAGAATCTATACACTCCTCCATACAATGTTTGCTGATGATGCCAAGTTATTCTGGGAAATTGAGAATCAAACAGACTGTGAAGAGCTATAGAAATATCCCTGAGCTTCAAGAATGGTTGAAAAAATGACTACTAAGATTCAATGTCACGAAGTGTGAGAGGATGCACATAGATCATGCCAACATTAAGGAGGTACAGTATATCACATGTCCCAACAGGATGAATAAACTGCGTTAATAAAGACCGAATGCAAAAAAAGACCTCAGTGTGTAAGTTGACAATGAACTTAAGTTCTCGGGCCATTGTGAGAAGATGGCGAATCAAGCAACTAAACTAGTAGGTCTTATAAGAAGGTCGTTCCCTCGTAACGATCTTCAAGAGTGAGGTTCTTCCCCATCTGGAGTACTGTCACACCATCTGGTCCCCAAGATATGTTAGACACTGTCAGTTGATTGAAAATGTCCAAAGGAGGGCCACCAAACTGATGCCTGCTCTTCGGCACCTCAGTTATCCAGAGAGATTAGAATACCTGCAACTACCTAGCTTATACTACAGTCGGGCATGGGGGGACCTTATTGAGGTGTATAAACTTCATAGAGGGCACTACTCATTCGAGTGTCCATACCTGGAGCTGGTGGACGCCCACTTCACAAGAGGTCACAGCTCAAGGTTGAAGAAGCCACAAGTCCATAAAATTGTAAGGGTAAACTTTTTCAGAGTGAGAATTGTAAGCTCTCAGAACAATCTGCTAGAGAGTGTTGTGACGGCACCGATCAACACTGGAGCAGGTTCAGATATATTCAGGAGCCACTGCATACCCAGTACTTGCCAACAGTGCCTAACAGAGACGTGACTGACCACCCAAGTGGCTGACGAGCCGATCAGTGGTGGAGGATAAAAGTATAAAGGTAAAAGTATTAGAACCGTATCTAACCTTACCTTAACCTACCTAATCTTATTTAACCTCACCCAACTTCTTAACCTGTGCATTGTCATATTGATTTTCTTACTATCATCCAAACAATATCTCTAGAAAAAAGGGTTTGAATTCAATCCAATATACATCGTAATAAACACGCCCTGTGAAATCGTCGTTCATTTCTTGACATGTAAACAAAGCTGCAGACGCTCTTGTTGTGAACCGCGGTACAACAATATTCATGCGCCAGACGAAATAGTCCTGTACTGTATTCATCCGCATTCGTTGTAAGAGTTGCATGCATTATAGCATTCTCAGTTTTATAGGTAAAACCGTTCGTTATAGGAATATTCGTAGTAGGATTCGTTCGTTATAGCATACCCCACTGTAGTTGACAATGTGAACCATAACATGGTCGCTACAAGAGATCTTAGCTTACAAAGCAGGTAGAGACGTGAAATTACTGCCAAGTAATCAGTGTTTGCAGTGTTCTTACCCATTATTTCCCAATTCTTTCATGCCCTGCCCAGTACCTCACCCACGGCCTCAAAGGAGCCTCTGTCAGGGTCCTACGTCTCATGTACATTGCCATCGTCAGAGCTGTCATAGATTATGCCTCTCCTGTCCTTGTAGTTGCCTCCCAGCGCGAGAAACAAAGCATAGAGAAAATCCAAAACAGAGAGATGAGACTCATCCTCGGCTGCCCTATGACCACCAGAATAGAACTCATGCAGCGGGAACTGATCCTGCTCCCTGTTTGTGATTAAATTATTGCTCTCAGTGCTAACCTTGGTGCTAAACTTCTTCACAGTGAGCAACTTACTCCCCAGTCGCACTCACATCTTAATACCCTCCTGTGCCAGCCTGTCCCCATTACCTTCCCTCCTCCTCTCAACACTAGCCCGTCCACACTGCTGCTGACATCCTGCGTTATCACCTCTACACCCCCTCGACCTCTCTCCCTCCCGAGTACACTCATCCTCCTCTACCACCGTGGACTTCTCCAAGTGTTGTTGTCGCCCACACCTTCCCTGGTCGTAAATCCAGCCAACTGCGGTATATATATGCTCAAACTTAACTGCCTTGAGCAGATTAATGATGTCGCCTCTTTTCTTACGACCTCCTTCCCTCCTTCCCTTGTCTACTGTGATGCGTGTGTTACCACGCTGGGTGGCTCTGGGACAGCTGTGTGGATCTCTGAGCGCCAGGCCTGCAGGAAAATCAGGGTTCACAATTGAGCCTCCTCCACTGACACTGAGAGCATGACCATCCTCGCAGGCATTCATGAGGAGTGACCTGTACCACCACTTCTGTGCTAGCTAGGCTCAAATTACCCTCTCCCTCCTCCCCTGCTGCCCAACACACCCTAGCCGCCGTCGCTGGGTTAGAGCAAATTTATGACATCCATGTCAAGTTTATTTGGATCCCATCACATATAGGAATAACTGCCTGTGACACTGTTGATTAGCTTGCCAAAGAAGCGACACAAGAAGAAGATATTGAAGCCACCCTCGCCCTCTCCCTGAATCATCTTAAATCTCACATACACGCTGCGCAAAGAGAAGCATTCGACGAATATTGGACACACCTGAAACAACGTGGTAGCGCCACACAACGCCACTATTCCGCTGTAACCAATGACAACAACCGCCACTACAAAGAGTATCAATCCCTGACTCGATCTCAACAGATTATGTGCATGAGATTGCGCCTAAGGTATAGGTACCTATAATGGAAGCCCCTCGAGATTGAGGATGGCCGGTCCAAAGGCCTCCTAGGCGTGAATTTGTTAAGGTGTAGAAGCTGTTGCCAACACAACAACCACACCCTAAGTTAACGAGCTGCATGACCCAGTATCAAGGAATAGTCCGAGAAGACCGGACAACTCACCAACTGCACTGGCTAACCATTACCCCGGAATACGATCCGCAAATTGATTAACATCCAGGTTCCCAATTACTGCTGGGTAGACAGAGGCAAATGGCGTAAAGAAACTTGCCCATAGTTTCACCCTGCCCGAGGATCGAACTCAGGTCGGCTCGCTTGCGAGGCGAGGATGCTGACCATTATACCACAGGTCGCCATAGGTACCTATAGGAGTACATTGGCAACCCTGAGCCTGGCCGCACTGTTTGTAAACTTTGTGGCCGACCCGACTCTCACACCCTCTCTCACTACATCCTCACTTGCCCCATGACCTCCTCCTACAGGTCCCCAGCCGTTACCAACACCTCTTCCCTCCCTGACCAGATATCCCTCCTCCTAGAGACAGGCCTGGCACTTGACATTATTAGGGACCTGCCACGCTTTGCCATAAACAGATGAAATGTACCGGGAACTCTCCCCCCCCCTCCCCCCACATACACACTCATCATTCTGTCACTTTATGTAACTTGCTGACAAAACCCATGACCCTTCAGGCTTTTACGCCCTTGATGCATGAGTCATGAAGGCAAACATGAACTATACATGCTTCCCATTTGGGCACTGTAAACGCTTTTGCTCTTCACCTTGCACAGGATGCAATGGGGGTGCTCAATAAACTAGCCCCCTCGTGGGGCAAATTAAAAAAAAATTAACAATAATTTATGATCTAAGGATAGGGTGAAAAGAAGAAAATGCTGCAATGTCATTTTGGTTTTAGTACTCGGTATCATTCAAACATCTGAAAATTTGGTGCAATTCCATAAAGTCCTACTGGTGCTAACCGTTTCCTCCATCATTACTCCTAATTTAACCTAGTCCTCCCAATAAGCTGTGGTGCCTAATTTTCACATGATCCAAATACTAGTGTAATGTGAAGTCACAAATTTATATTATACTGTATACTGTACCGGATACTTGGAGTGTCCCTGTCTGTTTTGAGGTGAAAGGAACAGCAACATCACCTTATATTTATGCACCATACGTGCCCAGTTTAGGCATTAGCCATTCCCAGACACCATCAGTATCTCCACAGACCTGTATTGCAAACCTGTAAACTGCACTTTGGAACACATTTATCCTCTTCTCTGAGCTTTTTTCATTGCCACAACTTAAATACAGTTTCACAAGCTCCACAAGTCTGACATTCTTGTTTTGTACACTTCACACTTTATGATCCTCTATGCAAAGATATCTTGGAAGCACCAGGTGTGAGGAGTTTGTGTCCATGTTGAAACTAATACCTAATTTAGATATTTAAGTAGTCATGTGCAATAAATAAATGCATGTATAGTATTTTCTTATGCTACTTAACTATTTTGTGGGGGAGGGGAATTATATGGAAATTTTTGGGTGACCCTCTTAATATAAATATACTAAGCTAAGAAACTAGGTACAGAGGATTGAATGGTTGATAACACATAAACTAAACTAGATCACCTGAAGATTAGCCCACTTAGCTTATTTTACCATCTGATTCAACACCATAACTCTAGTGTTTTTGGATGGTTAGGATAGTTTTAGGATGATTAATCTTGAGGCAAAATATACTTGGGGGTAATGTTAATATGATCCACAAAACTATACTGTACTGTATAATGATCTGAAGTACTCTACAGGTACTGGTTATAATAAGGGTGACCAAGAAGTAAGTCATGGGGTGCCTTAAACACTGTGTGAAAAACCTTCCATATAGAAACAAATAACAGTCACAATGCTGTACAGTGGTCATGGAGTATTACCCCAACCCTGTATCATCCATAAGACAAAATTGATGAGTAGTGAGACATTAATTTATGATCTTTACATAATGAGAATGCAAATTACAACAGCTGTTATTTTAAAAAAAAAAGATAAAAAAATATACAAGTGGATTGAAAAACTGTAGTAATTTTAAGGAAACCCATTTCATAGTCCAAGAGGTTAAAATCATCATCTTTGTCGACTACTAAACATAATAACACAGACAGTTCTCCAACAATATGTCCGAGTGTACTGTACAGTAACTAGGACACTCAGGCCAGTAATGCAGTTGTTTCAGTAGTGTGGTAAATTTTGCAGAACAGCAATAGTAGCCTCCCCCCCCCCCACCTTCCCCTTTATAAAAGATGTTTATTGAGCTGAGGTTTAATGTCCACAGGAGCAACAGATCCAGACAAGGATCAGGAGGAGATCAACAGCCACCACCACCACTGCCACCTTGTCGAAATTGGGGAAGCATGTCACCACTTGCATCATTTAAGCAACAGCTGTTGCCCCACTGTCAGAGGTCAACAGGTTGTCAGCTGTCACTAGAATATTGGAGATGGTCTAATCAACAGAAGTTATCTAATCGTCTGCTTTTACCAAGGATCACTTGTCATCGGAAGATGGGAGGCACCTGAATTATTTGCTCTTATTTTCATTACAATTACACTGTAACTGAAGGTCCTGTTGTTTTATAGGATTTTAATTATGAAAAATAATTTCCATGCATGGCATGAATCTTGTGATTACCATAAAAGTACAGTATTGGGTTTTGTTGATGTAGCTACATATTGCTGCTCTGGGAAGAAACTGTAGTCATTTAGATATTCTGTATTTGAGATAATTCTAGAAATTGTACATATTTTGATGGACTGATAACAATAGCTGATCATCGTAGATATCATACAGCACTCATATCCACAATCAAGAGCAATAAGTATAATTCCTCCATATTTTCAACAAATGTAGTTCCCCAGAGACAGCAAGACTGACATAGACATTGATCCCAATGTGAATTACTAACTATTGTACTGTACCTACTTTAGATGTAACTTAAATTTTGTACCAGACATATTATTTCATCTGGTATTTTTATACTGTGCTTCACTGAACACATATCCAGATATGCTTATACATCACCTTTTAAGCTAACAACAGTAACCTCACTCCTGTGCTGGGGTATAGCCTGAGGTTTGTACTGCTGCTTCAATGAACTAATTAACACAGGCTAATGAACAACCCAGTAAATTAGTTGTGAATATGAGTCTTTAAACTTGATAGTCACCAAGGTACTCTCTTTTCAGAATTCCATGCAGCTTATACAGTACTCTTGGGTACATCAAATATATGACAGACAAACAGAAGGTTAACTATGACAGACAAACAGAAGGTTAACTATTTCACTGAGAAAAATAGAGGACTGATTTTAATAACAGTACTGTATATTACAAACTCACTGGAGGTGAGTTCTTAGTACTGTACTGTACTGTACTGTACTGAGAAGTTTGTATTATTCTTGAAGCAACATGAATAATGAAATACTGTACTGTATATGTTTTTGTCATGTGTTTTAGGGAATGTTGTCCAGTCAAGCCTTAAAATGCAATGGACTCTCTTGCAAGACAGGGATAACGTTTTGTAGTACCAGTATATACTGTAGTTGTTATAACTTGTGAAATTAGTAACTACTGTGTTTACAGTACAATGTTCTTGGATATCTTATCATAAGCAAATGCTATATAATTTAGGTTTGATTGCATTACATTAGGTTAGTACTGATGATATTCACATATAGTTTGTACTGTAGTAAATTTACTGTCATGATTAGTCTTGTGTACACATGTTGAAACATTTTACAAAGTTTGAAATATTTTAAAAGTACATACAGTACAGTCCTGTACCATGCTGAGGCAACTGTCCCTACAACACATGACATCTTCTTCCCAAATACTGTATTAGAACCTTTAAAACATGTTTAGTTTAGAATAACTAAAACAGGTAACTTTACAGGGTTCAGATTGTCCATAGTTGGAATTTTAAGAGTGTGAGGTCTTGGTGTGCAGCGGTATAGAGTAACCTCACTGATTATATTTTATATTCATCTTGTATCATGTACAGGGGATAATACCTGGTACTGTACTCAGTGTCACTTAACATGTAAACAGTTTGATATATACTCATCACTGTATGAACACACACACACACACACACACATATATATATATATATATATATATATATATATATATATATATATATATATATATATATATATATATATATATATATATATATATATATATATATATATATATATATATATATATATAATAAATATCAAAAACATATCATCTATATAAATATTAGTACTGTATAGTTCTCTTAAGAGAAACTATAATTAAGGATGACAGTAAATCATCATTGTGAACACTTGTGTCCTAAGGTCACTTCTATCTGCTATGGATAACTTCACCATATATATATATATATATATATATATATATATATATATATATATATATATATATATATATATATATATATATATATATATATATATATATATATATATATATTTATTTATTTATTTATTTATATATGCAGATGTCCCTGAAATACACAAAAAAAAACAAATATTTTTTTCACAGTGGTTGCTTCAGTCTTTTTCTTTTTCCTAATAGGCTACATCAAATCAGATCCTTTGTACAGTACTTTATTGTTGTACAGTATAACAGTGAAAAACTACGAGAGTGAAAGGCGCAGTGCCACATGCTGACATATCTTGCAAGGTGGTGACGGCAGCTGTATATATTAAACACAAATGAGGGCTTCCCATATTCATTAATTAAGGATAGTATATGCTTCAGATTTCTTGCCTAGGAAGTATAGTATATTTAGTCTTTTGTACACGACTCCCTTAGTACAGTAGCAGGCCAAAGGATGTTAAGATTGTACTGTACAGTGTTCATGTTTGTTAAGGTATCGTTAGTAGTTTGACCTATTTCCTTCATGTATAGAATGTTTAAATGAATAAAGGGATTTTCTCAACCTTGCTACAGGTTAGTTAATCCCAGATGAGCCCAACATAAGAACAATTTAAACACTCTGTACGTGACGATAAGGTGAGCCATGCTCCTACGACCTAATGTACTGTGAGGTTATGTTGACCAAAACTACGGTACCTCTCTCCCTAGTAGAGGATATTATACAAAAGAATTACCACATTTACTCTGAGTAATCTCTATTCCAGTTCTGAAATACTTCAGCTGTCAGTGACAAACTCTCAGAACTACAAACAGTTAACAATTGCTAATCTGAAATATCACTTTACTCTAACACTTCAAAATATAAAGGTAGATTTCTAGTACTTTGTAAAATAAAAAAAAATAAAAAAGTGTGTACTGTAGTTATCAGGATTAAAAATTACTTTTGTGATGAGACTACAACACAACTTCTACAAGCTCTGCCTTCTCTGTCTTACATTCATGGTTACTTGATGATGTGCTGCGTTAGTGCAGTGTATCGCGTGAATCACAATCGCCTCCAAACAAATGTTGTTAAGGTTGTTTACACCAAGACACCTCATCTAACCCGTGGTGGTGTTTGTTGCCTTTTAACTCTGAACACTAAGATAACTTCAAGCCAGCAACCTTAAATTTTTGCTGTCACTTCATTCTGCTCAAAGCTTTTAATTTTGCTGATGTGGAATTAGTCCAATTAAGAGCTTAAAGGCAATACATGTGTAAGGACAGAATATATACTTTTATAACAGTTTATTACTGGTACTAAATGTGATTATACTGAGGCCTATTTATAGAACAAGTATGTACAGTATTTACACATTTCAAAAATAATTTGATTAGGTTGAAATTTGTTGATTACGTATTATGATTAGGTGAACATGATGTGGTAAATTAATGATGATTCAGAACACAGTACATGTTACTTGTTTGTGTAGTACAGTAATATGTTTGTTAAATGCTTTATTGGTCCCATTTAGTTTCTATATTAATTAGCATATAATGTGATTGCTAAAAATTCTACCCAGTGTCAGTAAATATATGGTGTATTTACAAGTGCACAAATTAATTCTCATATCATGTGATATCAGGAGTGAATTAACAGCTGAAAGAAAATATTTATGCTGTCTCTTAATTTGTCAGCGAGTAACTAATGAGCTCAGAGTCTGATCATATCATTCATGATAATTGATGAATTAATCCATCATTTAGATACTCAAAAAATTACGATGTAGAAGAGAACTATTATTTTTATTTTTAAAATTTTCTTACAGGATAATTTCTCTTGATCCCTCTTCTTCTTCTTCTTTTTGGTGTCTAACATATACATTTTATCCACTTGTTTCACCTTACAGTATATTCATATGACTAATATCAGCCACATTTACAGTGGCCATAATATGACTTATGTCTAAGTTGTAATGTACTTATACAAACATCATATACAAGATAATGTTATACTGTAAACCTTATATTGTTATGGTGACATGGTGCCATCACTGCACCTGTGAGGAATATATAACCACTGATTATTTCTTGGATATTATTCTATAATGTGGAATGTACCCAACATAGATGTAATATTATGTCCAATCCTTTCCAAGTTGTATCTAAACTAGACATAATATTACCTCTAGCTTTATAGTTTAATTCTAGAATAGATTTCTTCTAAGTAACTAGAAGGGCTTCATATAAAAATCAGTAATTTCCCTCACTATAACATCAGTTCATGGGAAGTCATAATTTTTGACATATTGTAAGCTTGGTCTGGTATCGCCTCACTTATATAAGATAACCTCATGTTCTAATAAGTCAACAGTGAAGCAAAATAACGTAAAATATCAATAAACCTTCTTTCTCAGCTACTGTTAACGGCTCAAAACTTATTTAGATCATTACTCTTCCAAAGCTCTTGTTGTCAACATGGTGTTGATTGTGTGTTTAAAGACCTCCCGGAAACCCTTGTACCATGGTCGTGTGAATATCCTCATCTACCTGACTCTACTTGTAACTCACCCTCTTGTTTATGATGGCGCAAGAGGGAAGGCCATAAAAGAAAACAAATGTAATAACCCATTCCTGCCTAGTGTGCCCTGCTAGAAATTGTGCTCCTTAACTGATCATTTTGGATACTGGTTATTGTTTTAGAGAGACAGTGAATTGACCCTCTCATCCTGTAACACTGATAATGTGGTCTGCTGATGACTGGGCCCCAAATCTATACTGTACTCATATGTAGGAAAGTCTATCTCTGATAAAGCTCCAAAGAATTTTCTTAAAAGTGGATTTCCTTCTATTTGAATGCTTGGAGCCTGACTGCTTCTTGAGATTTGGTACTGTCTTACTTTCAAATGTACATAGCACGAACACCTGACCTACAGTAACGTGGATATTTGTATTACATTGTTCAACTCTTTCAACAGTTTTGATTCTGTGGCTGGAAATATGCAAATTCTAATCCTATAGGCAGTAAACAGATATGAAATAACTGGTGCTAACTACCTTAATTCAGTATACTAAGAGTAGGCCAAATCCGCATATCATATGGATTTATTTATATGTAGAACAAACCTTCATAGATTTTGTTTGAATCCAAAATTATTAATTATAGTAAGATTTAGGTGTCTGTATTTAAAAGGAAGTTGGTCACTTTTACTTTGCATTGTCTCAAGTTGTCATATCCTGCAATTAACTTTGATGCTTCAACAAATTGACTCACACACGCACGCACACACACACACACTTTGAACATTCATTTCAAGCTCTTCAACTTCCCCATCAGCTTGTTATTCATTAGTAGTAGATGTTGAAGCTTCTTTTGTATTAGACAATGACCACATGATATTAGTACCAAAATACATAAACGGCCATTTTTTTAAACACTCGGGGCAGCAAGCCCAAAGAACAATCCCGAATGTCGGGTTACCGTTTGGTAACCCGACAAATGGATTTGTCAAACTTGAATATCAATCCCGAACATCGGGTTATTATTTAGTAACCCGAACGCCGCAACTCGAGAGGGTTGGTACGCCTTATCCAAGATAAATGTAAATAAACAGGTCATCCGCATTGCGATTACAGAGAATTTCCTTAAGAAATTTGTCCATAGTATATTTAACCTTTGTTTATTGTTGTTCCAGCAATGTAAGATAGGACTGAAATGATTTAAATCGAGTTATTGAAAACATCATTAATCAATTTGGCACTTTTTTCTAACCCTGAGTTCAAACATTTCTTCAAAAAAAATATTTTACGTAACCTAATCTAAACTTACAAATATTGGTAGTACCTAAACACAACCGGAACAACAACCCAAACAGTGAAATATAGCAGGAGAAATTTTTTTTCCAGGGTAATTATCAGCGTGGGTCACAGATGACACTTGTTGTAAACTATTACCTCAGCATCTACCTAGTACATTTGGCTCATCTTATATCTTCCCAATATAATATATTGGCAAATTGGAAATTGCATTACATCTATTTATCACAAACAAAAGTGCATTACTTACCATATTGAAGCTATAAGAGGATGATTGTAGGAATGCAATACTTGATAAAATTGGAGAAGGGCAATGGGGAAACAAAAAATATTTGGAGTTGAAGGTGCGACGTCACGGGTACACAGTGGTCTCTTAAAAATATACACATTTCCATTGGAACTGGTTATTAGGACATTTAAATATTTTTCTATATTATCTCATCTTAATTTACATATACAGTATTGTATTTCAAAGACGTTTTCTAATCATATATAACTAGTTTGAACATTCGGGATAAGTCTTTCGGGTGCCTACCCACACCCGAGGACTTATCCTGAACTTTCCAATAATATTGGTGGACTACCAAATGGTAACCCGACAAAATTTGGTTTAAAAAATGGATTATGGCTCGGAGGGCGCTTTCGGGTTACTAATAAGTAACCCGAATGTTTAAAAAAATGGCCGATAGAGTAATATAATGTCGCAAGAAAAAGGTGACTCTGCCACAGTCGTCCATACACTGTTACAAACAAAATGATAGTTTGTACAGTGGGACATACAGGATAGACTGCATTTTCTAAACATAAGGACTCAGGTGGGATGTTAGATGCCAGACAATGTATATAAGGAGGTACCCAGAGCCTGGTGCAGTATTATTCAGAGTCCCAGACCAACTAACCTTTACCTACCCGAGAAGATGCCTACAT